AATTACAACAGCTTCCCACTCTGACTTAACTCCATTGATATTAACTCTTTATTTCCTTTGGTATAGTCATGCCTTAATCCAGTTTAAGATAGCACCCGCAATACCGTGATCCTCTATCCTCTTAATCAGTCTTTCATGTGACACTATCAGAAGCGTTGTTAAAGTCAGTACACAACCATTGCCACTATCAACTGCTTCAATTAGGTTGGAATAGAATGATAGCAAATTAGTCAAACATGAGCGGCCCTTAGTAAAACCGTGTTGTGAATCATTCATTAATCTATGTTTTTCAAGATGAAGACGAATGACTTGCAATTAGCAATTCAAGCAATTTTCCCTTGATAAACGTTAAGCTAATTGGCCGATAGTTCGACGCAAGTGGTCAACTATATTCTTTCTTGAAAATTGGCACCACATTAGTACTAATTTGTATAGTATACAAATTGGGCATTAGTACAAGCCCAATTTGTATGCTATACAAATTTATTAGAACGAATATTAATGACCCCAAATGGTTAACTATAGGTCTGAAGAACCATATATGTAAAAAAAGCTTGGTACAAAAAGATTAAGAATGGGAAAGTCAATCTAGAGCAAGAATTCATCAAACAGGTTAGAAATGTTGAAAAAGGAAATAAGGAAAACATAAAGAAACTATGGAGTTCGTAGAGCGCGGCAAGCAAAATCAAATCCTAAAGATTGTTCAGGTATAAGGAACAAAGGTTAGGGATAGGACAGGTCCATTCAAAGCTGAGACAGGTCAGATAACTGATAATGACAGAGTTTCTAACAAATATTGTATTTTTAACAAATATTTTGTCTCTGTATGTACTAAAGAGAACTTAACAGTATGCCTTCTGACGAACAAGTATAAAATAAAATAAATAAATAAAATAAAATGTTTATTCAGGTAAGGTACATACACACAAGAGATTTTACATAAATTGATCGATTTATAGATGGAGCTAGTACATACAATGCCTAAAGCCACTATTACGCAAAGCGTTTCGGGCAGGAAAAACATTAATGACTAAAACTTAAATTAATACTAATTGAGTATAAAGAACAAAATGTGTTGAAAACAAATAAAAATAGAGATAAAAAAGGGGGAAACGTGGCTGAAAAAGCAGCACAAATACAATTAGGTCGACAAACAGCGTTGTTTAAGAAAACAGACATGGGTTGACTATAGAGGGGTAAGGTAGGTTACAGGGAATTTATTAGGTAGTGCTTCGTTTTTATCTTAAACTGGTTGAGAGAGGTACAGTCTTTAACATGGTTGGGAAGGTCATTCTACATTCTGGGTCCCCTTGTCCCTTTACGGTAGGCAGTTCCATGTTTTTTTCTGTTTATTAATTCGTATCCTGAAAAATACGTTTCGTGAAAAAGCGTATCCTACTCTCCGTCCTACTCTGTGAATTGTTGAGCTTGAAGCTGTTGCGCCCTTGTATGTCTTACATTTGACCTTTTAAAGAAGCTGTTTTTACTAATATCCTCCCATTTGATCGGTATTTTAAAGGTCTGTATGGGATCCGCCCCGTCTTTTTTTTTATTAACACGTTTAGGTATATACAGCAATGTGTTGCTATCCTATTCTATATGAAAGATTACACAGTGCCCTGTTACGTCTGGTTAGCACTGTTGTTAGCTCTGTGGCCCAGATAACGGTTCCTGGTATGAGAATTGACCTTCCTCAGGGTGCAGCGCACAACATTTTCCCATATCCCAAGTACCTGTTTAATGCTAGGGGAACAGAAGTATCAGGTGAAAGGAAACGTTGAGTAAACACTTCTGCATTGTTATAGGAACCGAACCATTCGGTTTGTTACCCTATTGTGTCACGTGAGTGCGAAAATTAAAGAAGCGAAGTTGTTGCTATATATATATGGGAAATTTCCACAAAGTTCCTGTTTAATTTATATTTCAGTATCAATACAAAAATGTTGCATCAATGAAGTGAATTATTGTCAAAAAAAAAAAAAAATCAAAGATTAGCTTAGGCTATTTCTACCCCTTCCCATACTTCAAGTCCCTCAAGGGGCGCACAAATTCAGTGAGTACAAATACAAGAATCCCATGTAACATATCAGGTTAATATAATATGTTAATATGTTAGATATTAAGTCACTGCACATTCTCTCATGTGTATTATACATATATAAAACGCTAACCTATAATGCCAATCCTGATCTTAAAAGCTTCATAGAAGGTTGTAACAGAACCCATGAGCACCACACCAGAAATAAATACAGTTTTGATATTCCTAGAGTACGTCTTAATCAAACTAGAAATGCTCTGCAAATCAAGGGGCCCAGAATGTGGAATGACCTTCCCAACCATGTTAAAGACTGTACCTCTCTCAACCAGTTTAAGATAAAAACTAAACACTACCTAATAAATTCCCTGTAATCTACCTCACTCCTCTATTGTCAACCCATGTCTGTTATTTTCTTTTTTTTTTTTTCTTTTTTTTAATAAACACTGTTTGTCAACCTATTGTATTTGTGCTGCTTTTTCAGTCATGTTCCCCCCTTTTTTTTTATCTTTATTTGTATTTGTTCTCAACATCTTTTATTCTTTATGCTCAATTAGTATTAAGTTCTAGATATTAATGTTTTTCTTGCCCGAAACGCATTGCGTAATAGTGGCTTTAGGCATTGTATGTACTAGCTCTATCTATATATCAATCCATTAATGTAACATCACTTGTATGTATATACCTTACCTGAATAAACATCTGAATCTGAATCTGAATCTGAAATATAGTACTATCTAAGAGTATAATAGTGTACATCCACCGCACTAGATTTTAACCCATTAACGCTCCAAGATAATATTCTCACTCTACTTTCATCCATGATTTAATAAAACTACCTTTGCCCTGTCTGTCACATTCCATGAGATACGAGATTTTCTCAGACAGACTCTCCCAACACTGTAACATTTCTGCTTTCTCCTCATTTGCACAACAGCTACTAGCATCAAAGGTGATCTTATTCATATCTAATTTCTTTCTTATTTCTCTATACCGTTTTACTTTAACCTTTGTTTCGACATTTGTCACTACAGAAGGTTGAACGCTAACACTACTAGAAAGTTCATTTTCCTGACTATCCTCTATCATCAATACGTCATGTTCTTCCTTACTTTCTTCAACGCACATTTCACGTCCTGTTTCACTTTCCACTTCACGTCCTATTTCACGTCCTGTTTGACTTTCCATTTCACGTCCTGTTTCACTTTCCATTTCACGTCCTGTTTCACTTTCCATTTCACGTCCTGTTTGGCTTTTCATTTCACGTCCTGTTTGGCTTTCCATTTCACGTCCTGTTTGGCTTTCCATTTCACGTCCTGTTTGGCTTTCCATTTCACATCCTGTTTCACTTTCCATTTCACGTCCTGTTTCACTTTCCATTTCACGTCCTGTTTCACTTTCCACTTCACGTCCTGTTTCACCACCATCTTCACCCCGTCTACCCCCCATAGTTAATTTTTCTAATGCCTCAATCCTCTTTTCTAGTTTTTTTAGATATTCCAATATTTGAGTACCAACCTCAGAGTTCACTATATTGACCTGAACCTTGTTTCCACAAGGTTTAATTTTTTCAGCTGCATTTCCTACTTTCCCTAGGCTCGCCTTAATTGTCTCTGTTCCTTTCTCCCACACATTGTTCATAGGCGCTGTCATTGGCTTCCAACTGTTTCCTCCATGTTCCTGCTGCACAATCTTTCCTTCCTTCGAGGATACATCTATCCTGCTTGTAGCACCCGTCCTCGAGTCTCTCAGATGAGGCTTCATGCGACATAGATAGGAACCAGCATTGTGGCTTCCTCGACAATTGCAACAAGATGGGACGATTTTTTCACCATTTTTAATCTTGACTCTACACTCTCGAGAGTCGTGTTTCTTACCACAGTACCGACACCTGGAGTCAAACTGGCATTTCCAAGCCATATGTCCCCAACGAGAACACTTCATGCATAATATGGGCTCCTCAATGTATTTTACAACTTTCCTGTAGCCTAGTCCTTGCACAAAAATTCTTTCTGGAGCCTCACCCTTTACCAAGGCAACAACCTGGCTTTGTTTTTCACCACGAACACTGTTCCTCTTTGCCCAAACAACACTATCATTGTTGAGCAATAGATAATCAGGATCCAAATAAGTTGGATACTTAAACACTATGACCTTGGTGTACATCATACCTTTTTCCGGAGTAACCATCACAATATTCTCAAACCCATCCTTCGTTAGGTGTTCCACGGCCTCCTCTGTCCCAACTGTTATATAGGGCCGGTGAAGACCCTCCTTGAATAGTGGTTCATATTCAAAAAACTCCTTAGCCAAACGAACCGTCCACTCCAGCTTTTGATGGAAATTCAGTTGACATGCTGTAGGGAACAACAGCCTCTTCCTTCCATTAGTCTGCATCTCCCGCGTCCTGCTGAGCATGTCTTCATTTTTTGGTCTCTTTGTTATTTCCTCCTCACTGTCTTCGTCTCGCTGTCTTTGAATATTTCTCCGTTTATATCTGTTTACTACTGCTTGATACGGCCTAGTATCATCCTGTCTGCCATCCCCACTGTCACACTCTCCAGGCCCAGTACAGGATCTTCCATCACCTAGGCAGACCGCCTCAGCCATTTCCTCGATACACAAAGGCACTGTATCACTGCAACAGTCGAGAACAAATTCACAACATCTAGCTGCAGCAGCCACGTGCAAACACGAAGATGCGGAGCAACACGTCCTCCTCGCATCATGCAGCAGACCGCACTAAAAATTATTGTCTTGATTAGCTTGTTGAGAGGTCTTGACCGCCATTCAAATATGGCGCGTTTTCACCGCCGGAATTTTAATGAGTTTCGCAGACATATAAATTATTGTGTAAAGAACACGTATTGATAATAGAAAGATGTTTCAATTAATTTAGATTAAATTGTATATGCTATTTAAATTGTATTTTTTCTCAATCTTAAATTTAATGAAAGTGTTCATTTGATTGTTTTTCTGGTGGCGTGAGTGTTGGCAGACGGCTGGAGACTGTCAACATCAGCTGGCTGTGTCATCTTTTCCTCTACTGTGTGAGTTACGGCAGTTTGTGGGGGTTTCGGTGTTGGACAATATGGACTACTCGATTACTGGAGGGAGGCAGCGTAAGTGTACGTAGATTGAGACGCATGATTGTTGCAGCTGGCCCCTCCCTGCACACCCACTAACCTCTCCCTCTTCTCTCTCTCTCTCACCCTCTTCTCTCTCTCTCTCACCCTCCTCTCTCTCTCTCTTCTGTCTTTCGTCAAGTATAACGCCACCACCAGTTGCCACTCACCGGGCTCTATACACTATTCCTTTCCTCTGTCCCAAATCCTTATCCTGATCTCTTCCAAGTGCTTTATAGTCGTAATGACTTGGTGCTTTCCCTGATAATTTCCTCCCTCCCCACAGGTATATTCCTTCCTTCCCCACAGGTATAGTCCTTTCCTCCCCACAGGTATATTCCTTCCCTCCCCACAAGCATATTCCTTCCCTCCCCACAGGCATATTCCTTCCCTCCCCACAGGTATATTCCTTCCCCTCCCCACAGGCATATTCCTTTCCCTCCCCACAGGTATATTCCTTCCCTCCCCACAGGCATATTCCTTCCCTCCCCACAGGTATAGTCCTTTCCTCCCCACAGGCATATTCCTTCCCTCCCCACAGGTATATTTCTTCCCTCCCCACAGGCATATTCCTTTCCCTCCCCACAGGCATATTCCTTTCCCTCCCCACAGGCATATTCCTTTCCCTCCCCACAGGTATATTCCTTTCCCTCCCCACAGGTATATTCCTTCCCCTCCCCACAGGCATATTCCTTTCCCTCCCCACAGGTATATTCCTTCCCCTCCCCACAGGTATATTCCTTCCCCTCCCCACAGGTATATTCCTTCCCCTCCCCACAGGTATATTCCTTCCCCTCCCCACAGGTATATTCCTTCCCCTCCCCACAGGTATATTCCTTTCCCTCCCCACAGGTATATTTCTTCCCTCCCCACAGGTATATTCCTTCCCCTCCCCACAGGCATATTCCTTTCCCTCCCCACAGGCATATTCCTTTCCCTCCCCACAGGTATATTCCTTCCCCTCCCCACAGGTATATTCCTTCCCCTCCCCACAGGCATATTCCTTTCCCTCCCCACAGGTATATTCCTTCCCCTCCCCACAGGTATAGTCCTTCCCCTCCCCACAGGCATATTCCTTCCCCTCCCCACAGGTATATTCCTTTCCCTCCCCACAGGTATATTCCTTTCCCTCCCCACAGGTATATTCCTTTCCCTCCCCACAGGTATATTCCTTCCCCTCCCCACAGGTATATTCCTTTCCCTCCCCACAGGTATATTCCTTCCCCTCCCCACAGGTATATTCCTTCCCCTCCCCACAGGTATATTCCTTCCCCTCCCCACAGGTATATTCCTTCCCCTCCCCACAGGTATATTCCTTTCCCTCCCCACAGGTATATTCCTTTCCCTCCCCACAGGTATATTCCTTTCCCTCCCCACAGGTATATTCCTTCCCCTCCCCACAGGTATATTCCTTTCCCTCCCCACAGGTATATTCCTTTCCCTCCCCACAGGTATATTCCTTCCCCTCCCCACAGGTATATTCCTTCCCCTCCCCACAGGTATATTCCTTTCCCTCCCCACAGGTATATTCCTTACCCTCCCCACAGGTATATTCCTTTCCCTCCCCACAGGTATATTCCTTCCCCTCCCCACAGGTATATTCCTTCCCCTCCCCACAGGTATATTCCTTTCCCTCCCCACAGGTATATTCCTTTCCCTCCCACAGGTATATTCCTTCCCCTCCCCACAGGTATATTCCTTCCCCTCCCCACAGGTATATTCCTTGCCCTCCCCACAGGTATATTCCTTCCCCTCCCCACAGGTATATTCCTTTCCCTCCCCACAGGTATATTCCTTTCCCTCCCCACAGGTATATTCCTTCCCCACCCCACAGGTATATTCCTTTCCCTCCCCACAGGTATATTCCTTTCCCTCCCCACAGGTATATTCCTTTCCCTCCCTCCCCACAGGTATATTCCTTTCCCTCCCCACAGGTATATTCCTTTCCCTCCCCACAGGTATATTCCTTTCCCTCCCCACAGGTATATTCCTTTCCCTCCCCACAGGTATATTCCTTTCCCTCCCCACAGGTATATTCCTTTCCCTCCCCACAGGTATATTCCTTTCCCTCCCCACAGGTATATTCCTTTCCCTCCCCACAGGTATATTCCTTTCCCTCCCCACAGGTATATTCCTTTCCCTCCCCACAGGTATATTCCTTTCCCTCCCCACAGGTATATTCCTTTCCCTCCCCACAGGTATATTCCTTCCGCTCCCCACAGGTATATTCCTTCCCCTCCCCACAGGTATATTCCTTCCCCTCCCCACAGGTATATTCCTTCCCCTCCCCACAGGTATATTCCTTTCCCTCCCCACAGGTATATTCCTTTCCCTCCCCACAGGTATATTCCTTTCCCTCCCCACAGGTACATTCCTTCCCCTCCCCACAGGTACATTCCTTCCCCTCCCCACAGGTACATTCCTTCCCCTCCCCACAGGTACATTCCTTCCCCTCCCCACAGGTACATTCCTTCCCCTCCCCACAGGTACATTCCTTCCCCTCCCCACAGGTACATTCCTTCCCCTCCCCACAGGTATATTCCTTCCCCTCCCCACAGGTACATTCCTTCCCCTCCCCACAGGTATATTCCTTCCCCTCCCCACAGGTATATTCCTTCCAGCATATTAGCAGCTCCACGAATTACCCAAATGAAAATGCAATTTCTCTAAAGATTCTACCCGGTTTTACACTTGATTTATCTAATAGTCGTACTCCCAGGGCTATAGAGTGGGTACATGAAACCTTTGACTATTACTGACTCCTCAGTTTGTATATCAGTATATGAAATAATGAATACAGTATACTAATTATTTATATCATATATTGATTGAAAGCACACCTGCAAGGCACCTCATCACTGCCAGCGTGAATCATCAGGCTACTTGTGGAACTCTAGCCTGTTAAAGTTAGGGACCAAAGGCTATAGCTATGCCATTCTGGCTTTTTTTTTTTTTAATTTTACGTATTGAAGAAATTGCCAAGATTTAGTAACCTTTAAAATTGAAACAAAAGACAAACTTAGAAAATTAAAACATTGAGGTTATTTTTTAATCAAAAAGGCTATGAAATACAAAGTAATTGGATATAAAACAAAAGAACTATAATAGAAAGAAAGGAACATCTTTCTCTACCAGTTGCCTTCTTTTTCCAGATTAAAATTATACAAAATTATGAAATGTATAATATAATTTCAGAATATATAATATATAGGGTTTCAGTAGTACAGTCGGGTTCGTTCTTCCCTTTCAATCGAGAATTCCAGGTTCAAATCTCAGGCGGGACAGATGTAGTTAGGTGAGTTTCCTATCAACCTAATGCAACTGTTCACCTAAAAGTAAATAGGTCTCTAGCAGATGTTAGGTTGTTGAAGAATTGCATCCTGGGGAGGGTACGTAATTTGACCCGAGGGAAGGGAGGGAACCTTCATATAAACCTTACATGTGCTGCATGTATAAACTGGCTGCCTGTACCCCCGACACAATGAATTATCATTAATTATTTTATCTTGAAAATATAACCTAAAATAATAGGTTCATCAGAAGATTTTTTATTTATTTATATATACAGGAGTTATTACATTTTTGTAAAGGCACTAGCAGGTCCTTAATCCTAATTTTCCCTGGAATACGACCCGCCAAATTGTTTAACAACCAGGTTCCCATTCGCTGCTGGGTGAACAGAGGCTACAGTTAAGGATTGACTCCCAGTCAACCCTCCCCAGCCAGGATACGAACTCAGGCCAAAGTGCTAGTGAAGCGCTGGGCGAGTGCTTTACCACTACGCCACGGCGACTGTGAAATAGGAAATTTTTGCATTTATATTACAATTTAAATGTATTAGTACAATAGTTGGTCAATTTTTACCGACTGACTGCAGTAACCCAAGAATTGCTTTCGACTCGGACCCCACAACTCCACATTCCTGAATTCTTCCTAAGGATTGTTATTTTTATTTTTGCTTGAGAGCCGCCATCTATCTAGTGGGGACTGGAAGATGGCCGTGTGTCAAATAACACTTTTAATAGCACCGTTTTTGCCTTTACAGATTTGGCATTTTAAGAGATTGCATGAGTTTAGTGCTCTACATCTGTGGCATGTCCCACATTGAAGCTTGGTGAGCTTGAAGCTACTACTTTGTGTGTGTGTGTTGTGCTCGACCTTGTCAAATGGTCTGAATGAACACCATGCAAGTTTTGATGACCTAAGCCCCTTTTGTGTCACATTTGAAGTTTTGTTGTGTGGTCTTTTGCTTTTCCCAGTATGTTGTTTGACTTTGTTCTGAGATAATTTTCTTCACTGCTGACATTTTTCCAGCTCAATAATCTCGGTGAAATCACCGTACTTGGATACTGACTATGCCAGTAGAGTTTGAGGTCAAGTTGCCTCTTTACAACTTGCTACAAACCAAATGTGGCCATAATAAATTAATTTTTTTTACCCATGTCCAAATATTTAAAAAAAAATGGTTGAATTGCAGGAGCGACTTGACCTGAAACCAGCACCGTGTCTATTATTGGAATGTAGATTATATTACGGTAGGAATATTTATATATTTTGCCTTGCAATATAACTACCCAACATAAGATAAGGGACTTGTATAAGAGTCCCGGTATTACAGATAGGTTCATTCTCGACACACAATATTGAATTGTGGGTTCGAATCCCAAGTGGGACAGAAATGGTTGGGCACGTTTTGTCACCAAATGCCTTTATTCACCTAGCAGTAAGTAGGTACTCGGGAGTTAGCCAGCTTGTTTTGGGGGGAGGGGGTTGCTTCCTGGTGGGCAGGTCAGTAATTCAACCTTGGGGAAGGGGGGGTAAACCCTGATATAAGCCTAACGAGTATGAATACACTCTGGCTTCCTGTCCCCCAACACATTGAATTATTATTATTATTATTATATAAAAATTGTTGAAATGGTGGAAATAAGCTAATGAAGCTCTGTGCTCTTAAATACAGAACCATGGATGCTCGAGAGTTGTTTAGATTTCAACCC